ATTTTTTCGCGTCGGCTGTCTCATGAATGGTCGTATCTTGCTTTTAATGTACCTCACAAATACCTAAAGGAGTTGGATACTATAAACGTAAAAATTTCGATAGCAATGCATAAACTTGTTTTCAGTAAATTGAATTCAACTGCAATAAATTTTGTTTCTAGTATCCAGCTCCTTTAGGATTTGGCGACTCCGAAGTTATGTTTTAGTAAAATACAAAATAAAATGTACTCTCATCACAAAACTTCGGCGCAGAAAGACTGCAGGGTGGGGGGCAGAAAGGGGCAGAAATGGTGAAGGCTTTCCTCACAAACCGCACATTCGAGGTAAATGTGGGTAAAGCCGGATCTTCAAAGGAGAGGATTGTGGCCGGGAACCCCTCAGGGCTCGGTCCTCTCTCTATACCACGAATACGGCTTTTCCTTTACGCTGATGACATAACCGTCTTATCAAGAGGAATAACCCTAGACCACAAACTCGAAGTACTCCAAGAGCAGATGAACCTGACGCTGAAGTGGGCTGACAATTCACTTTCTCAACGGAGAAGTCGCAGGCAATCTGTTACACCCGCCGCAAACACAAATACGCTAAACGTTTCATACCACCAACACAAATTACACTTGCCACACAAAAGCTGTTATGAGCGCCTAAGGAAACGCATTTAGGCATCACTTTTGATCGAATAATGCGCTGGCATATACATGATGAATTCGATCAATATTACAGCAAAGAGTTTGACTCTTTTTAAAGAACATACATTGTCCTTGGAACTTCGCTTGGCATTCTATAAAACGTGTTGCCGGCTTGTGGCCACATACGCTGCGGCAACGAGGTGGACTACAGCACAGAAGGATACACTTGACCTAGTACAAGTTGTACAGTTCATAACGCGCCCCCCGTTTCGGAAACAGTTGAAAGAACTCAGGAAAGAACTTGATATCGAGTCTTTTACTCAATACTTGAGACGGCTTTCGTTTAACGAAGCCTATCAAGCCTTTCGAACCAACTAAGCTCCGGCATCGCTTAAACAATTAGCTCCACACTTCCTCATCGTTGGAAAAAGAAGACAAGCACTCCCCTCGGATATTCTGAGGGCGTTGCGCAACACAAAAGCCGATTTGGTTACAGACTAAAGTCCTACGCGAACCCACACCAGCCACTTACACATATCAGTAAAACGCGAAATGCGTGCAACACCAAACTCACCAGTCCTCGGCTAAGCCGAAAAAAAAGGTGTAGACACATTCGATTCCTCCCGGCAATATTCTTGAACCGTGGAGACGTCATAGAGGCAGATTTCCATCTATGAACTGTTTTCAAGTATTCGCGAAGTTTGAACGGAAAAAAGGTCTGAATGAAGGTCAACGATACGTGGTCAAAGCAACACTTTCATTATGAGAATCTTTCTGTTCCAGCGCACATCGTGTTTATCTATGTATGCTGTTTTGTCCTTATTAACCACAGGAATCATGGTCCTTGACTCTCCGTAGAATGGTCATTCACATTGGAAAACACAAGTAACAACGTTTGGAACGGAAGTCTACCAATTTTCCTGATTCCGTTACTTCTTACATTTACCAATCACCTACGGTGTTCTTTTCTAAACCCCACTCTTTTCTATACCCCAGTCATTGCCCTTCAACTATTTCCACAATTATTTTTCCAATAATCTTGGTTGAAGGTTTCTGCTAATCAGGGAGGTGACTAATTACCTCTTTCACACTTTGCTGGTAAAATATTACTCGGTCAATCAACTGGAAAGCCTCGCTGTTGAACTTTGAACTGTCATTGTAAAACAAAATAATATAGTCATTGCATGAGGCAGAAAGCACTTTATAACACCCTATCTAAAGCAATAACTGAGACACTGTGACGGGTACAGATATATTAGTATACCTCAACATTCAACATCATTAAGAAGTAACTCCTCTTCTCCGTGTTTCACAAACTTCCTTCAAGAAACCTATTTCGAGAGGTATGACCTACTTCCGCCTCTACAGAATCAACAGACTTCGCAGGCTCTCTCAGAATCGCAAACTTTTTCGCATATGGAAATGTGACCTCGTCAGCAAAGAACGCTACATAATTACATTAACATTTTTCCTTGTGAGCATTCAAATACAAAGGCGGCATGGGCCTACTCTTAAAGTCTATTACGGAAAACTGGCATTCGCTTTGCGGAAAAATGAAACTTTCATAAGACCCGCCTCATAACGTGCACGTTGAATTTTGTGGCGGAACGGAGTATCATAACAACGAACGAGCGGAAAATGTGTTAGGATGCAGCAGCCTTCTTTCTGCCGCCAAAACAGCTCCTTCCTCCCCTCCCTTGCCTCTGTCCGTCAGTTTCTTTGCGGGAGATGTATGATTAGTACTGGCCTTGTATTCATGCATTTGGATATTAGTAGGCTTGTTTTTTTTCTTTAGAAGTATATAAGGCTTCCGAAGTTCGTATATATTTAATAATAATAATATTCAATAGTAAAATAAATTTGACATACAAAACTTTAAACATGATGAAGGGAAAAAATATAATTTTTATTTCGTTTATAAATTATAATATGAAAGGAAAATATATGATTGAAATTAGTATCCATTTGACTTTGAAATCAGAATACTTTACCTTGTGAATGTCCGTCGAATTGATTTAGGAAAACTTTATACAACGTAAATCCCTCTCAAGCAGTAGTAGTTCGATAAGTACTTGTCTTGGATTGTTCATCAACCGGAGAATATATCTTCGCCGATAATTTGTTGCCAACATAAACCTTGATGTTGCCGACCTGGATTGCCGAGGTCGTTAAGCCTGAAGGGTAATAGCTGCCTCTGCTAGAAGGGTCACTTTTTCGAATCCCGCTTCGGATATGGATGATTGTGTGCGTTCGTGTTGTGTAGACGCGTTTATCCTACAGTTCCCCCTAAAAGATAAAAAACAAACCATAGTGGTCATTTTTAACTCCGATTTTAAAACGTGACCTTAAGAAAATAAAAAAAAACATTTGACGTCGCAATATATATTTCAATAGATTTTTAACATAATTATGTCTACACATAAACGGCGAAAATTAAGCCATACTTGACGGATAATATTAAATGGAAATAAGTATAATCAGTCTTTCGTATAAATTAAGAACAAAGGACATACATTTCAAAAATTCCACGCCCTAGATAGAACTTTATTCGCCCCAAATCCCGCAAGCATCTGTTCAGAGAAAACAAAACAAAGTGATGAATGAGAAATAAACGCTGGAACTACTTTGGGAACAACCATTAGAGTGTAAAACCTCCCCGGGCCAGGCCGACGCCAGTAGACATTGTCTCTCTTCCGAGTATTTAGCAAATTTTATGTAAGACGCTATTAACTGGAAACGTATCTAATCAACAGCCGAACCAGCTGTGCGGTGGATCGCATCGTTCATGAAAACGGAAGACGTACTCTCACACCGCAAAGCTGTCAAATGATTGAGTGACTATCGGTTCTATATTTTGATACTCCTTGACAATATATTCTCCATGATTCAGTTGTTTTTGACGCGTCTAAGCAGAGCGAAATGCGGGTGGTACGCATCCACGCATGAATAAGGTGTCAGATACGTAAATAACTCCCAGCCAGGGAACCCATGATCTTTTCGTAAAATAATGTTGGAATTATATTCTAACGCGGACGTGTGCTGACAGTGTCAACATGTGTAGTGAAGGCATTTTCTTACATCAGAAGTGCAAAACCAAGCACGCGTTAACAACACAACCTGATGATAGCTCAAAATAATTCGTCGAAATGAACATGTAATAACATATTTTTAAATATTTTATCATTTCCTTCAGTTTCAATTCATTTGACGTCTTCAATGCCAACATTTATATAAATTGCAGTGCACACACGAATTATGTTAATATGTAGCAATTGATACAGTTTATAATATTTGTATCAAAGGAATGTAATTATATTAAAAATCTCAAGGATGTTAAACAATAGGAAGAATTACAAGGACATGCATATAAAATCAGAAGCTTACAAAGGACAAACCAAGAGGACGTTGAAGTTGAGATTGGTGGAACATAAAAAAATGCGACCAAGAATACGAATAAACAAAATTCTTTGATTAATCACAGGGCTGGCCATAAAGTGAATTTTAAGAATCTAAAAATTTCAGCCAAAGAGCAAAGAAGGAATCCGAGATTGGTTTTGAAAAAATTGTTTATTAAAAATATCAACTATTGCAGCTCGCAAATTGAGCTTAATAACTTCACTAGAGTTCATAATGGTTTACTGATCAATTTTTTTAATGTTATTGTAAACGTTTAATTCAATAAAATACGGTTTGACATTTTTTTAGGTTGTCAATCCTTAAATACGACATTCTTTCCTTCCTCACTTTTCTTCTCTTTGACTGTTACAATCATTACAACTTTATGATACTTGTCTCACCAGACCAAGTCTGTCATGAAGACTGGGTGTTTGATTTGTTATAACGTTTGGAATTTGCCTAATAATATTCTTAAATGCATTTCCTAGTTGAATTTTGTGTAATATGTAACAAAGTAGTGGGATGTAGTTTTTCAAATCTTTCTGTATACGGTAACCTTTTATGCGTTTTAAACAAATATATAGTGCTTGAAAGAAAGTCTGAAGTCTTTGAATCTGGAAACTCTGTGTCGTACAAACATAAATATTGCAATTTTTTTCAAGAAACTGTTCGTCACAAAAATAGCCAAATAAGATTCCTGATGGTAAATTAATTTTTTATCTCGAAATTGTAATATAGAGCTCTTTTCCTGCCACATTATTTTAAGGAAGTTTTTATCTAACAGGTTTAAACCTACTCGTACGATGGTAATTTAACTCATTATATGTTTGGTAATAGCGAAATGAATTAGAAATAGTCATTTTAAAATTACACACTGGTACTTGCTGAAAAATACCTTATCATCAGTATGTGACATGTGGCAAGTAAGACTATCAATTGAATATATTATTCTGTTTTCTTCCAAATATGAAGACATTATAATAACGTATTTTAATCCGAATGAGACAGAAAATCCTGTAGTCTATCCCCATTGAGAATCAGATTGTCAAATTTAACCAAAAAAAATACATTAAATGACATTCAATAAATATAACACTGATAGCAGAATCATGACTTCGAGATATGTTGTTATCCTACCCTGATGATACTATATGATTATGTTGTGTAAAATAAATAATACGTGATGCTATACTATGTTATGATACTTATGTTAATGTAATAATGGATGAAATCATAATTGTCGAAACACGTGATATAAATCATTGTAGTCACTTATAGCCTTAGTCGTTGATGCGGCCAAAAATAAAGATAGAGGGGGAAAATAGCATTTTAGCTAGTTTAATTACATAATACTAGTTGCAGTTGATTCTTCGTTATTTTCCGACATTGTTTGAGGTGTTAGCACACAGGACGATTTACTGGTCTCCTCCACTTGGTAGGCGGTGCCCTTCCTCCAAGGCAGTCTCTCCCGGAGCCACCTCCACGCTCTGCCCAACCACCCCCACTGGCCCACGCACAGCCACAGCACAGCCGCGGCTCTCACAAGGTCCACGAACGTCGCCAAGATGGCGAACAGAAGGGCGTTCTCCGTCAGTTGAACGTAAAAGCCGATGAAGTCCCCGCCTTTCGCCAAACTTCGAGGTCTTATGCCCCACGCAATCATCTCCAGCACCAGGTCCAGCACTCCCGCCGACAGAAGCAACTTGACGTAAAGCAAAGAGCTGCAACACGAGATGCTTATCAAATATTCCAAATTCTTGTCAGTGAATATTTAATTTATGTATTAAAAACGAAACTTAAAATATATTTCTCTTAATATAAAATGATGCAGGTAAGCAAGAACATTGCATTGAACTGGTAATTAAAATTTGGTACGGGGATGTAGTTTTTCTTTTTCTAATGCATGAGTAATTTTTTGCCAATACAAGTGTAAATTCCTTCAAGGTTAAAATCGTGATTAAATAGAATTCTAGTGCTTACAATTTTACCGTTAGTGACATTTTTCTGTCTGACCTAATCTAAATAATTTTAGTTTTAATGAAGATTTTTTTATGATTCTAATGAAAAAAACTCACCTGCAAAGTTTGAATGTATGAGTGAAATTGTTATTAACTACCTATTTCTATTTTTATATCCAGACCCAAAGGAAAATTAATTTCAAAACTGTTATTTAGGTTTATTGTTAATTCTACCTTGATGCCCTAAATAAAGTAAAGAGTAGATTGAGAGTGGTTCGGGATCAGCAATTGGAAACAAAATAAAAGGGCAGTAGAAATATTATGTGTCTAATACGGAGGAGAAGAAAACTGTAAACACATCATTTTGCAGTCGTGAAGAACTGAAAGAAGGCGAGATTCTAGTGGTAGTGGGGATATTTAATACAGCAGCAAATCCTGACTTGGTATCAACGTTTAAAAAAAGTCTTCATAATATGTACACTTCCTAGTACATCATTGTTTGCAGTCCAACGTAAAAAATTGAATGTTGTTGTTTTATGTAGGAGAGGAACAGACACACCAAAAAGATTTTACTGTTGTAAAACAAATTAAGTTTAAAAACATGTGATATGTCATTTTCAAATAATCTGAGATGAAGTAGATTTAGTAGTCATTATTACTGATTAGGCTGGATTAATAGAGAGTTCTTGTAGTATAGCAGAAAGCAGTACGATGTAGCGTATTTTTACAAAGATTATAATAACACAATATAATCCGAAGTAACCTGCATCCTTACAATATGATTCACAAGGTTGACGGAATTTAGTCCTAAATATGTAATGAAATACATATTTTCTGATATCAAATCTTTCTCATGTAACTCTCTGGTCCCGAGGATAGTTTATTCAGCCACTTAAAATGTATTATTATTCACTTGCATAGCACAAGTAAAAATGTTCCACGCGAGTTCTATTCGCCGGGGGCTCCACGCAAAGCTAATTTACGAGAATGAAGTATACTCGTACTGCGGCACGAGCGACTACTTAAAAACTCCATATAGCAAAGTGTATTCATATCCGCTACATAGAATTTCATGCAGTTCTTTTTCTACGACTAGTAACTGTTAGAACCTTTTCTTTAAACGGTTACGTGCAGCTGGCTTGCAGTAGTCAACCTAGGTCACCTCACAGACCCCTGGATTACCGAGATGGCATTAGTTTAACGACATATGTGCTTTATTGTCATTTCCTCTTGGATTGTCTCGTCATAGTAATATACAAAAACCAACTTAACATGAAATAGAACAATGACTGATGTTTGATCACATCTCTGTGATTGATTTGTACACTTCTTTGCAATAGGACACATACCTCTTCTGTAATGAAGCTGAGTTTTTAACGACCATCATTGTGCAAGCAGCTACAGCCGTCAAAGCGATCTAGAGAACTATACGAAGGTAGAAAAAAATAGTTTTTACTTCTTTCTTTAAAGAATTGAACTTGAGAGAGAGAGAGAGAGAGAAAGAGAGAGAGAAAGAGAAAGAGAAGAGAGGAAAGAGAGAGAGAGAAAGAGAGAGAGAAAGAGAAGAGAAAAGAGAGAGAGAAAGAGAGAGAGAGAGAGATGAGGAGAGAGAGAGAGAGAGAGAGCAAAATCTAAAAATAGAGGTGAGTGTACAAATGATGTTTTTAAGTCACAAACTTTCTGAATTAACTTGATATTATTTCTTTCTCTCTGACTTACCTGCGGAGAGAACTAGAAGTACTTTGCAGAAGGGAGGAGTCTTCTCCCAACTCCCTGATCTTTCTCCAAGTGAGCCACAAATACACACAGTTGGCAAATACCAAGAGCGCACATGGCACGTAATAGTACAGCAATGAGCCCATGTCGTGGTTCAATTTTTTGGCAATGAAATCAGGAGCTGAAACACGCACGTTTGTTCATGTGTTAAAATGTTAAATATAGGAAATATTGAAAATAATATTTCAAAACTAAATATATTAAAGTTGCTTTAGAGTTTTTCTTATTTAACAACAGTTTGAAATGTAATTAAATAATTGATTTGATTTACTTGAATAAGTTGTGTCTCGGTGAATCAAACGTTTAACAAAACATCTGCCCTATTAAACCTTAAAAAACTTATGTTTATCTAGAGATCTCCGTTTTCAAGTGGAAGTACATAGCGCCATTTCCTTGTGTAATTAAAAAAACAAAAAAGATTTGGCTAAGGCTTCTACGAAGTGAAATTATTTGATCATTAAACAATTAATTTTATTTGTGTATTGACAATTTTATGTGATTGACTGTGATTTTGTAAATCTTTTAATAAGAGGTAACTAAATGAAAAAGTGTTTTTAATTTTCTCGATCTGAGTTTTTAAAAGTAAACATCAAGTATCCATTTTAAATGTAGAGCTCAATATAATATTTAAATATTTGCTATAAATTGAAGGTTTTTATGTTCAAAATAGTCGGTCTTATTAATTAATTATTTAAGCGAATTAATCATTTGTATAATGTATATTATTAGAGCAATAAACACTCATGTCTTACTTTATTGTAAATCCAGAAAAATAATGTTCTCATCTTTTTATTTTCTCTTTCACCCAAACATGAATGATTATTGTATCTTGGGCGCTGAAATGATAAACTTTTATTTTTATTCTTCTATAATTGTGGACTTGATCTTTCTGATCTTACAATGTATTGTGTGTCCCACCGTTCCTAAAATAGAACTTCCAATAAACTATAGAAAACGTAGAAATGTAACTAATTTATTGTTTCTGGAATTATATTTTCCATTATCGCAGAAAATGCTATTACATTACTTTTTTAGAATGTATATTTTCATATTTGCTCATCTCGTTTCTCAAAACCAAAAAAAGCATTCTTAATAAAAATGCCAAACGAAGCTCATGTAACGAATGTACTCCAAACGATATCATATACATTCAAATCGATGTACGGAAGTTCACTGTTACGCTCATATTATTTACATTTATGGAAATATTATTATTGATAGCACAGAAAATTAAAATAAACCTGTTTACAGGAGTACTCAATTGAAAGCACTACAAAAGACTATCAATTATCTCTCAGTGAGTAGGTAACTTTGTCACACGAAGCACAAGTTCTAGTGAATATTGAATGAAGAGATACATCTATTTTTTAGGATTTGACATTTTTCAATGACGTATATTTTACCGTTGCTTTATCTTGAGTTTTATTTGAAACATAGTTTGCATTTAAAATAAATATAAATGTCACTTAACCTCATTACTTTAATATTTAAACCTGAGTATCCAAAGCATATTTAGATAGTGTGGAGAGATGAAATGACCGAATTCTTGTCCAGCTATCAAAACCAAACTATTTGCAGTACAATAAGTATGCTTTAAGCAATTACTGAAATGTAAATATATGCTTAAACAGGTAAATACTCTCCTCCAGTAAATGAGCATGTTAGATATCATATTGATCGGCCTCAATTTGAAATTACCTCTGACCTTAATGGCAATGGCTTGATCAAACCGACACGTCCGTGTTTCAAAAAACGAAGACGTAATGATGCCTTTCTCTATCATCTCGTCACTTCGATCCATGCAGATGGAGAAGGTGGTCATAGCGATGGAGACACCCCAAACATAAGCTGAGAGTACAGCCAGGCGACGCCAGCCATCGCCATTTCGACTTGCTAGCACCCCAAGAGGTTGCCTGTAAGAAAACAAGAAACATGGTACACAATTACCGAAATACAAATTAGACTTCTTTTATTGTATAAGGTTAGAAAGAGGGAGCCAAGAACTTCCAGATGTTTCAATTTTTTTCAATTTTTTTCTTCTCTTGTCAATTATAGTTAACATCGAAAGAATAAAAATATGAAAGAAAATATCGTTAATTGGAATGTCTTTCTTCTTCTAGACGTTTGTGTACTGATGTGTGTATATGCTGTGTGACTATAGTTTTTTTTTATCAAACAAAAATTGAATCGGTCAACAGGAGTTGTTTGGTTGTATGGCTTCCTAGTTACTTCGGTGTTAATCAGAAAGAAAAAATAAAATTAACTTAAAAATTAATTTATGTACCAAAAATATTAATTTTCATTAATCTTTAACTAAATACACATGAATTAGATGTAACAGTCGTAGTACCAAAGTAAATTTTATATTGAATTCAGCGGTCCAGGTAATATTTTTGAATCCTTTAGTTCGTCCAGTAACAATGGATTAAAAGTAATATACTATTCATGTAATATAAATTGTATATAATTTCTATGAAAATCCATCGCATGATGAAATTCATATAACGTGTTTTACGGTTTATATTTTGGCTTGATTTTCAGATTTTGTAAAGATAAGTCATGCTTTAAACCACTTTAAGCCCGAATCTGCAACTATTATTGTACTACAATGCCGACTCACCGAAATCTGCACGCCATGTTTGCTGCCACTGCATTCAACCATAATGCGCTGGCCATCAGAAAGAAGTAGATAGAGTAAGCTGTGGGTTCACATAAGTTACATATCAGAAGTGAATACAAATTGCATTTAAGACTGTTGTTTAAATGCAATCTGTAGATAGATCAAAACATTACCTAAATATGTACATATATATAAAATATTAATTTAGAAAATTGAGATCGTAATATAATATAAAATTGTCGATCATAAGATCATTTAATTATGTAACATAATATTTGTAGATTCTGTTACTATAATTTTGAAAAAAAAATGTTTTTTAAAACATTTTTTGTATTATTTGTTTATGAACTAATACATAAATAATCACTTTCATTAAAGACATATGTAATGACACAAACTACTGTTAATTGAATGCAAATAGAAAATATAGTACAGATTAAGGACGCAAATCTCAGACATACTAGTACTTTATAGTTTCGCTTCTAGTGCGTTGGCTCTCGTGGTTTTCTCATTGGTCAGTGTGTTCGCTTTCAATGACGCGATCCCGGGTTCAGTTGTCCCGGCAAGACTATAGTGTGTGTTTTCCTTGCAATGTCTCAGTATATGTTGCTGTTTGACAATGACTCACTTCTCAAGTTGAAAAGATGGAAATATCTTCGTGCTAACCCCACGTACTCCTTAACCCATAGCCGCGAGGCCGGGACGCTGCTGGTAGGCCCTAGCGCGTTTGCAGGTGGTCGCGCCAAGTACAGACTGACAGACAGGCAGACTAGTACATTGTGCGAAGAATATTAGACATATAATGTGTATTGTATTTCCTGATCTTGTAATACAACTCATCAAAACCGCAGATTTTTTAGCTCCTACATACAACTGCTATAATAGATCATTTGACCCCTGTCCGTATTAGTAAGTGGCTAACACTATACATACGTTACAGTCACATTCTCTTCGATAATGCAAGTAACTCAGATTGTTAAAGTATTTCAAGTGTATATTCAAGGCAAAAAGACTAAGGTAACATCTAATGTATTATCCAAACAACGTATGGCGGGGTACCTTTCTTTTATAGATCACTTACCCAAGGAACTGCTAAATTTTATCCCTACAACAGTGCTACCGAGATTTAGAAAAGGTTCAACCGGGAATAATAATTTCAGTGCCTTTCGACTTCAACTCGTGAAATACACAATTATCTCTGTATCAGACGACCACCATGGAAAGATCAGGTCGACTCACAGCAAGAAAAGACGTATATAAAAATCCTAAAATTAGAAGTTTATTATTAAGAATATCAAAAATTGCCTATTGACACAGCAATGGAATCTTCAGTTCTATAATACTTTCTTCTTCAACTTCTGTCACCGGTACAACTGACGTTCTCACCAATTTGAAACTATACAATACACACCGCATAATAGAGGTCTATGCTCTATTCCAAACGAACAAATTCAAAAATATATAACCGTCACACAAGTGTGGAAAACAAGATTATCAACCCTTTACACGCCATTCTTCAAATCTGTCCGAGGAAACACTGTTCCAACCTCAACTTATTGTTCCTTACAAATCACGTCACGTAATTCTGAGGTCTTGCTAAATTCTCATTCATCTACAAAATTGTCAAAAGTAGTTTATTATTCACGTAACAGTTCTTATTCCTTTATGTGAAAACAGGCTCAAAGTTATAATAGTTTATGTATCATGAAATCGATTGCAACAATATTAATAGGTCAATACATTCTTGGCTATCCAGGATGAGCAGCGTCTCAGAGCTATACTGCAGTATAGCTCTAAAGAAGGCCACAGCAAGATGGCCGAAACGTCAGCAAAGTTAACCGAGACGCGGCTCTTCCTGAATAGCCAAGAATGCATTGACTCCAGCCGCGGAAGACTACGAACGCATGATATTAATACATCCTTTCCTAAGGTTCAGAAACGGAGTATATTATTGTCGTAGGGGAATCTTCTGGCACTATCAAAAGAGTGGAATCGTGTTAGGTGCAGGTGGGACCGTTCTCCGGGCCGTTCTCTACTTTCCTATAGACCTACGGGTGCATCGAAGAAATTAATGAGAACATGAATGACCCGGGTATTAGGAAAACTTGAGAAGAAGAAAAATAAGAAAAAGAAATTTTGGGATGGTGTTACATTGGCACCTGATGTAGTCCGTTTGGAGAGATAACGGTCCTCCGAAAGAGCGACTTTACAGTGTCGACTTTACATCGGACGGGTCGCCGATGCTCGGAGTACAGGGCGGTCTGGTGAAAGTACGAACTAGCACGACACCTGGGAGTCGGAGTGGACTAGCGGGTTGGAAGGATGTCGGAAGGGCAGGATTCGGCCGCAGAGAACCGCCCTGGGGGGAAAGGAGGTAGGCTGGGATCACCTGAGGCCAATCTGAACCGACTACGGGTGAAAGGGAGGTCGGCAGGGCTAGTTTAGGCTGAACCGACGGTGGAATGGAAGGTCTGTACACACGGCCGTTGAGCTATCGAGTACAATGCGTCCTGCCTCCAGAGGTCAGACTATTAAATAGACCTTCACCGCTCAGACCTTCTTTTCTAGACGGAGCTACGTCATGGTACTTTTAGCCATACACGATTTAGTGCCGAAAGGCGTTAAATTACTGTTGTTTCCCAGCAATGCTCCCCCACCCCTTCGTGTAAACTGGAAAACACACGGGGTGGCCTAGACAGCTGTCTAGTTTGTTGCAGAAGTTCTCCGCTTGAGAGAACAAATGAAAGTTATAGTTTTGGGGCTCACCGTACAAATCACATTCTGCGCTTGGAATGGACGTAAAGAACCAAATGGCTTGCAAGGCGTTGGACACCATGAGACAGGCTGCGTGCAAAGCCAGCGCTAGGCCGTGTGCTGACCGTCGCATGTCCTCTCTTCTCAAAATGGCGGCCACAGCTGCCCCCAAAAGGACGGCTGCTACCACCTGCAAATTTAACAATGATATTGTAAAGCAGAGAAATACTAATATTGTAACCTTTACCTATCAAAAGTTGACACGAATACCCTATCTTTACATTCAAATTGCGCGATCAGAACACACTCCTAGTGGCTTGGAACCTTGATTTATATATAAATACTCTTAGAGAGTTGAAATGTACCGTCTGTGCTGACCTACGCGGTAGGGGATCAGACGAGAGAGGTAAGGAGAACGAGGCAGGCGCCCATCGATCTCGGGTCGTGTCCTAGAGGAAGAATAACATTGGTATCATATACCTGCAAGTTTAAAGTACAAATTGGGTATAGCTCATGAATAGAGGTATGTAGGTACAGTCAATTATGAGAGGAAATTATGAAGGGAAAGAATAAATATGTTAATGGACGTCACAAGTACTGAAACTATTTTGTTTCAGCTCTTTCTGTTCTTTTATTACTTTGATGTATTATTTTACTTTGGGAAGTTGATACATTTAAACTCTAGTTTCTGGTGGATTTGGTAAAATCGTGTCGGCATACCCACGACGTATTATTGGAAAAACGACACCTGAGAAAGGACAGCACGAGGTGCAGAATACAGAACGAAGCATGGTGGACAGGACTCGACGATACGGAAATCCGGAGCTGGAAAAGTCCTTACAAGACATCCCAGGCAGAATCAACGTTAGGTGTCTGTGATATAACGCTGTATGAAAGAAATTTTGTCTGCACTTGGCCCCGGACAAAAGCGATGCACAATTTCCTAATTCATTGTGGGATGGGTAGTCTCCGTGTGTGTGACTCAGCTATTGAATCGTTGTAGTTATTTTGCTTTTGAGTCAAACCACTAAAATGAAAGATAAGATGAAAACTATGACATTTCGCGACGTGCAGGCAAAACAGCAATTCTCGGAGGAGTGAATATTGTCAAGGTCAGGGCGAGCGCTGTGTTAACATAACGGTAATTTGGAGTAGCTTAGAAAAAAATGTGATGGTCGCAGAATTAGATGGAATTCTAAAGAGAAAGATAGAGGTAGGAGTCTAGACAAATGGAAATAGGAAACTAATGGGGGAATTCTGTGCCATTCTCTTGCACCAATAATTTTGAATAATATTCCACGTAAAAAAATACTAATAATAAACGAAATTCAAACGGAGAAGCATAATATAAAATTAAATACAATTTAAATTATCACATTCGAAATAAACATTTATTTGAACGATTCTTAATGATTGATTATCAATACTAGGTTTGTAAATTTGTGATTAGACGAGAACCTGTATCATAATGAGTATCATCATGCAACGGGTTGCAGTCTCAAATGACATAATTGTACAATGGGAGTATAAACATCTATTTTTATTTGTGGCCTTATATTTATAACGTAAAAATTGATATATTGAATGACTTTTGTTAGCTTAGAAAATTAGTATTTTAAAATATATATTACTTGGAATGTTTCGGAGGATCCTGAAGCTTCATTAAAATCCCCCTCGTGGGTACCCCAGTGAATCAACAATATTAGGATTGTGTCATATTTGTTGTTTGGCTTATTTTGATTCAACTAAACATAATTTTGGAACTGAACGCCTTGCTGTATGGCTTTAGCATACCGTTTTCCTGAGTACTCCATAAAGACACATATACTCTTATAAACTCTGTCAAAATTGACAAAGGTAAAATGTATAAGACTTGAAATTAGGTCTGTATTACTATACCATCTTCTTAGCTCATTATTGCTTCTCTATCCAACTTCCATCCAAATAACAACCTCTATATGTACTAACATTAAAAGCAATTTAAGTGTAAATAATTCATAAACATACTACCTGCAGTGGGCGTATTCTCATATACAAGGGAAGGGTTGGCAGCACGTTGCAGTACGCCAACACTCCTTTATTGTCACCCTTCTCCGAAGGCTGCATATCATAGCAGAACTGCATCTTTGACGTTTTTAAGCCAGGAAACTCATCCGCTAGCTCGAATTCTTTTTCAGAGAGAGATCGAATGACTTGAAAAGCGATTTCTCTGCAGTAGGCCAGTTTGTGAACATTCATGACTACAGGTTTTTCTACGTATTTTGGACCCGTTAGAAGCTTAGGGGACCAATCATCGCCAGAGTTACTTTCGCAGAATCCCATTTCTGAAAGCCGACATCCTAAGGAGCAACATTTGAAAACAGTGTGAACGTCTTTAGAGGGAAGTGTCGCCATAATGACTCTAGGTTTCATAAAACGATCATCGAAAACATCGAAGCAAAATTCACGAGTGCGTAGAATACGTTTATCTCCCGAGGGCAGCACTAGGGTTAACACTAAAGTCGGTTCTTCATACTCCTGGTACTTGATTCTCCACTGCGTTGTATCGTCCGCCCAAAAAATAGCCCGCGAGTCGAGCTGCCAATTGTCGCCGTATTTGACGGTAATCTGTGACCCGGAATGATGTAGTTGCGGAGGAATCCAGTAAGGCACAGAATGTGAAAAATTAGCGCTCACATTTATCACTTCAAAGTCCACACTTTGTCTTGTATCGTAAGATTTTGCGCAGGCGCTGTCTTTGGCACTGAAAGTCTTCCCGCGGGCGCAACATTTGGTGACGTGCGCGACGAGTGCCATTGCAATTCGCGAGAACGGCCCTTCCTCTACTTCATCAAAGCAGTAAAACCTACTAACGCCCCCTGTGGTTTTTGTCGAACCACTTGTGTTCACCCACAGTTTATACACGTTAGAGTGACGAAGCAAACGCCAGGAGTTGCTATCTGCATTTAAGCGAATGTTGCATTGGTACGGAGGATGATGTCCATAAAGAACTCTCACTACATTAGATCTCATTTGTTCGGGGAGCCAGTGACTGCCATTATTTTCGAACGGTGTGAGTATTTCTTCATGAACATTTTGAAGTTCGGTCTCAGCTTTTGAGCCACACTCGTTGGTGTTCCAGTTAATCCGTTGCCCCTTTCCGCAACACTTAAACAACGATCTAAGGAACACTGAAGTGACGAAAACGATTTGTTGTGGAGACCCGTCCAATGCGTCGAAACAAACCGTCTGGTCACGAACTGACGAAGGGTCTACCCGACCCTGAAACGGGCTCAGTTCGAACTCTTCTTCTTGGTACTGGATATTTAGAAATCGCTGGACTAATGTATCAGTGGCGTCCATATATGGAGCTCTCCAATCAGCTTTCGTCTCACCGTACAAAACTACGATGCTAACGTTCCGAGGAAAAGACGGCACCCAGTAGGCACTGCTGTCTTCCATTGGACGCCGCATTAACTCCTGTCCTGTAGACGACACGTGCCAGCCTGGTCTCTGAACACAGTGCTCACCTGTCTTGTCAAGTTGTTGTCCCTTCTTGCAGCACTTGGTGACAGTAAAACTGGGGATAGTTAGATCTTCGTTTCCTGCGCGAGATTTGTCGCAACATAGTAGTGCTAACAGTACCACTGTATGTGATACGTACATGTTGGGATGCGAACGAACTGTTCATGGCGGAAGCTTGTCGCGGACTGCCCCATTCACCGTTTTGGGCCTTTCCCTGATAACGCTAACGGAAGCGGTGAGTATGGAAAAGGAAACCTGCGGTTTCTACGACAAAATTCTATAGCAGACTTACCAAGATTTGCTGACATTGATGCACATATAAATATTCTATGCATATGTATTAATATTTTGTAAACTTTAAATCAGGTGTATTCATTTCCTGCGTTAAAGCATTTTAGGCAGGCATGACCAAATATTATAAAATTGCTAAGCCTTGAAAAAGCACACAATTCTGTGAAATGACTACAACCGTCTCGTTGATTGTGTATATATATATATATATATATATATATATATATATATATATATATATATATATAATACCTAATACACAGATTTTAAACTTCGAATGGATACATTTCGATTTTTTTTACTGGTTGGTTTTATAAATCCTGACATCAAGCACACTTTACATATTATTTAATTTGTATTTTTTGAAAAGAAAAAGAAGAAGAAGTATAAGATTGAAACAATGTAAGTAGGTAAAAGGTTTTCTTGGATGTAATATAAATAGAATTTCCAGAAAGTGAAAATTTGGAAATTCCTTATTTTGATGAGTTTTCAAAATGTTTAAATTTTCTTTGGGAAGAGATCCGACACTGCAATAGCGTGACTTGTTCAACTATCATTACAAATAACGGTCGTGGTGAACATATAATGTGTATAATATATGTCTTGCTAGAGTGGTAACTAATAGTCGAAACTGCAGTCGGACAATTTATTGTATTGCATTAATTTATTTTCCAAGCCAAACTTAGAAAAATAAAAAGAATAAAAGATATGAATTTTTTTAAATATTATTACATACTTTCTCTCTGATTTTTTGTTTATTTACTCGAATCTCCTTTCGTGTTTAATGTCACTGCGATGAAAGACACTTCAGGCCGCGTTTTCTCTCTACATTGTAAATAAATGTCATCTACCATAAGCACCATTGAAATAGGTTTCTACGTACTTTGTGATTATTTTTAATTACCAGTCTGGGCAGAAAATACTTGTCACTTTAAAATCGCCTCAGCTGTATCTGTGTGACGATGAAAAGCTCGGGCAGGTGGAGCTTTTTAGTTGCGGTGGAGGGAATACGTCATGTTTGTCACTTGTGTCTCTTACCCCGCCCCCTAAAAGCGTGGGATTTAAAAACTAGCCCCAGGTATGGGGATCAGCATTACCTAGTCAGCAAAGTCAGAAAAACGACCTAAAATACCATATATATATGAAGAAAAAATATCCATGATACAGGGAGAGGAGGATTGGAGGAGGTTGAAGCTGAGCAAAGCAGGTCAGGGATGTGCCAAAAGTTCTTCCATTTTACACAGTAGATGGACTTTATTTCTTTTCCTGTAACAGTAGCTGACTGAGGTAGACACACAGGGTACTTTAGCTATAGAACCTGTATCATTGTCACGTTGTGTCACGTGTTGAAATAACGAATGTGAAATCCCTTGATTTTTAATACGACCACAAAATAATAATTTTCCAATATCTAATGTGCATTTTCAAATATATTTTCCTTTTTTTATGTATGTATTTGAATCCGTTCTATGTTTCAATATATTTATTACATAATAATGTATTATTGTTGAAGATATTTTGAAAACATTCGTCAATGTTTACGTTATTTGTTACACGTTACGTCGACAGTTACGTTTGCATATTTTTGATAATCCTGCAATTTGAGTTGTTATTTCACGAAAATTCCACTTTTGTTACTTTACTGGAAAGTAATTTCCTGAATGTGCTTGATTTTTATACCAGCAAATGTGCCACCTTCGTTGGTTTATCGTAAGAAAAGGTATTCCAATCTATTACAATCTCAGTTTTTTAATGATATTATGAATATGTCATTTATAAATATTTAAATTGCTCATTAACAAGAAATGGAATTAACTGTCTTGAAAAATAACGAATGTGACACATGCGTGAAAATGCATCGGTGATACAGATGTTCGAAAATTTCGGAAAACTTAATACGTTTATTCGCTACTTCACAATTATTATTGGGTACAAAGTTACATATTTCTTATTTTTCTGCATTTTCGTTATTTTTTTCCTGAAGATACCGTCTCAACCTGACGCTCTGTGTAGTACATTGAGTAGGAAATTATATTTTTTCTTATTCGCCAACTACATACATTCGCGCACTACAATATGATGAGATAGTACACCGTTTTTTTCCAATACAAAATCTCACAATAGTTTCTACTACTTCTGCCATTCATTTGTGGTGTTATTTGTTTCATGAGGTTTCTCATGTTTTACCTCATCCAGCCCCATTGCATTCTCGAGTTCTAAAATAACTCATCAGTTCTCGAACAATTGATGACACTATCCCTTTCTTGGCTTTGTTATTAAAGCGTATGTTGACGTAGAGGTTGGCGCCGGATCTCGCAATCTAGGGAGTGAAGAACACACTACTAATAAAAGCATAATCTGCACTTGACACTATCATAGCAGTTGACGCGCCTTTGAATAACGAAGAATTGAATAAATCAATTCACTACACTTCCGCTTTGCATCGTGTTACAACATTTGAAAATCGTCGGAGAGTCGTGACAGTCTAAGTTACATTGATCTATGAATGGGTGTGGCTGCTGGTCGCTGGGACAGATGATTGCTTAAAAGCGAAATATTTACATCTGTCTAATGGAAAAAATAATCGATTTCATGGCAAAACGGCCGTTGACGCAGATGGCAATACAATCAATGAGACGGTTGTAGTCATTTCACAGAATTGTGTGCTTTTTCAAGGCTTAGAAATTTTGTAGTATTTGGTCATGCACAGTATCGGCCTAAAATTCTTTAACGCAGAAAATGAATACATCTGATTTGAAGTGGATAAGTAGATAAAGATATTTTCACTTTTAAGACAATGATTTAAAACGCGTGCAATGTTCCATCTAGTGATCATAAGTACACAAAAGAGTTGAAAAACTCAAAACGTGCGCGTCGCTTCTTTCCCGGAAACGACCGCCAACTAAACCTCGAGCAGACCTAAGCCAACGCAAACCACATGCAGTATCCGCGCAGCGAGCAAGGTCCCACACCGGGAGTGCATATATATGTAGTTCACGTGTGGGGGACGTGTGTTTACAGGTCGCTAGGTCAACGACCAGAGCCCACCTACGTACAACGCCGGGGCTGTGGGCGCGGCGCGGCGCGGCGCGGCGCGAGGCAAAGGCGAGTCGTAATTTCGCGGGGGTACACTCTGAATAAGTAAACAAGCGGTGCAAATAAAACGTTCGTTTAAGCGGCGCGTCTTGTGGAATGGGTGCTCCGCTCAGGCCTCCAGGGCGCGATTGTCCTTTTTACGAGGGCGCTTCATTCCGCGTAACTCGGCGCTCGTCTGTCGCCACCTCACCCTCGTTGGTCACGTGCGCACTGACTGACATGGGGCAACCATGTTTTTATATTTTCGTTTTTTTTTATTTGTCAAGGATTCTTATGGTTTATCGCAATCACACGGATATTAGTATTTATGTCAGACTTGAATGTACAAAAAATGTCACACATGATACAAATCAAAGTGAAAATAAATGAAAATAAACTGTCAAAATAATAATAATAATAATAATAATAATAATAATAATAATAATGTTAGACAAGGTTGTAGCTATCTCCTACTTGTATGTGTCTCCAATTTTTTTACATAATATTATCTTAAAAAATTCAAGCATCTACTACATCAAATTATTAAAACTTTAATTTTAAAATCTCCACTTTTAAGATGAAAATAATGACATTCAGTGGAAAGTACCCAATTGTAATCAACATTTGTTTAGAAAACAACACAAATGAACAGTTCCAGTTTTAAATACTTAGGATGCCACATTTCATATATATACGATCAATATCTTAAAGAGAAATGCAAAACCTCCAACATAAATGTGGGCTAATTAATATTACGTTAAGAAACATAAGGAGAAACAGAATCCTCTAGATATATAAAGTTATGTTCATTCCCACGTGAACATAACGATGTGAGTCACAGATAATTAAGAATAAAGATTGTAGTCACCTTTAGGCTATTTAAATTCATTATTTGAGATGAGTGAAAGGTGGGAGATGAGGGAGATAGACTAAAAAACTCGGACATGAGGAATGAATTAAAGATATTTTTTCTATTCGATAGGGTAGAACACTATAGAACACACTGGCAAGAGCATGTCAAAAGAATGGTAAATAGCCGATACCCAAAAGCTGTTATGTGATTAAGAAAAAGAAAAGATGTGAGGAGACCTAAAAGTCGAAGTAAAGACTCTGTCAAGAGGCCGGAATAGGCAAATGCCTATACCATGAAATGAAGATGATGCTTAGAAAACGGCAATTACAATATTGTATGTATTTAAAAAAATTCAGTATATAGTTTCATTAATTTTAGTAATTGTTTATGTTATGACTATTGTAGGTCGATGATGGAAATCAATAATATGATCTCTTTGATATGTCGCCAAAAGAACTTCAAGACCTGATAATGTTTTAGAATTAAAACAACACTTGATATTAAAAGTTTGTTTTTTAAGTCTGTCTTAAATACTGATAGCCATCTGATTAAGATAAAAATATGAAGACAATGAACTACCGTAATAAAAATGTTGATAAAGCGAAATCATCTTGTATTGTATTTCCTTGCTAGCCACATCTTTCTGACGTTAACATCTATGTAAGATCTGAAAAAATACTTTGTGTATCATTGCAAGGATCAAAAAAGAACGAGACCCATTCTTAATATGCATTTTTATGATGTGATATAGTTCATTGTATAGAGACACATAACGATTTAGATATTCAATGTCAATTTCTGTTAAATGGGGCATCCCTATCAGCAGTGACATCACTTAGGTATGATACAATTGCTATTGTCATCTCAAATAGTTTTCGTAGCGTTAAAAATAACGAAATTTGATTTTTTATTTCGAATTGAG